TTTTTGGTCATCGTCAAGTCCGATTTCCGGGAAACATGAAGTGCAGCAACATCGGCCTTCAACTGGTTGTAAACAGGTTCCATTACTTCCTGAGTGGATCGGCAATGATCGGCAACAGAAAAGTCTAAGCTGCTTGTTTGTCACTGCATGGTCTTACCACTACCTCTCATCCCCATCTGTCAGACGGTTTCTTTAGTGACCTTCTTTGAACGATGTTGGGGCGAACATTTGACGTTCACATGTTTCTGTAGGAAACGAATTTGGGTAGGTGTCAAAATAGGCCATCCCCTAAAATGCAGTTTGCCTTTTTTGTTTCCCTTTACAACAACACCTAAAAAGGGGTACCCTGGAAAGAAACGCAAACCCGTTTGAAGGCCATTTATGCGAGATGTCATAGGTTCCCTTTGTATCGCAAAAAGTTTGGGCCTCATGCGGCAGGTCCCAGTTCTCCAGGAGATGTCTTGGATTTTCAAACTCCCCGATCCGGGACTTGCGTGGGGATCTTTTTTTGGTCAGAATTCGGAGTCGACCGAACACTTGCCGAAGTCCTTGTTGATTTAACCATACGGAATCGATGGATGTCCGTTTCCTTCGTGACGGGCCGGGGGCGAAGCCGTGCGTCGCAGGGCGCAACTACGGTGCTCCTCGCGTGTTTGGACGAGTCCCAGCGAGTGGCGCTCATTACTTTAGGCCGAATGCTGGCAGTTTTGGCTCGGTGGGGGAAGGTCCCTTTGGTTATGGAACCCGGTGGATCCTAGTCACCACTCCAACTTCCATTTCCTCAAAGAATATGTTTGATTTTTCCTTGTTGGTTTTCTACAAAATATACGTATCACTATTGGAAATATGTGTTTTGTTCCAGCCTGCGCATTGTGTTGATGTTTGTATCGGGTGGCAAGCCCTTGCTTGCCTACTATAGATGTAAACGCAATCACTGAGGAAGGAACCCTTGTTAGTGGCTGGGCTGGGGCACTTTGAACTCGAGATTTTTGGCTTGCAGGAACGCCCCCTTGGCTCGGATAGGCGACTCAGGTGATTTCTTCTGGAGTGATTGGATTGGTGGCGCCTTTTCCGGTTCAATCTGGAGGACTGGAGATCCAAGGTTGAGAGGTGATGTAGTCGGCGTGCCGTGGGCGTTCGGCGAATTTCCTTGAAGCGAGGGAGTTGAGCTAGGTGTAAACCACATACCCTCCCACCACATGGAACGTTTGGGGGGTCCTGGAAGACCATGTTCCTCGAAGCAACAGAGTGATTTTTGGCGTGCGTCGTATATCCATCTTAGAACTGGAACCATCCAACCTCATTGCGACCATGGGCAAACGATGGATATTTGCTGGTATTTTCTCTGGAGGTATAGAAGGCTATATACTTCACATAATGGACCATCCAAGCAAGTTGCTTCCCTTATCATAGGCGCCACCTAACCTTTGTAGGGTGTGTTCTCTGGGATATTGCAAGTAAAACAAAAACATGCCCAGAAGCATGTGAACGGTATATCATCTCATTCCCGGCAATATGTGAGGAAACAGAAGGACCTTGTTCCTGGCAATACTGTGAAAAATCGAGCAGCTAAGCCCGCAGCAGAAAGTGGGCTATCCGTTTGGGGAACATCCAACACCCCCAAACCGAAGGGCCCAAGGTTCCGGCCGAACCTTGGGGGCTGAGGGTCCTTCGTTTTAAGTGAGAATGAATGTCCCCCCACGGGCGGTGTTTTTTTGTTTTTTTGAGTGGGTACCCCGGTTTGGTTCCAAAGGGAAGCCAAAAGGAAACCCATTCCTTGTGGTTTGCTTAGATCTCCTGGTTCATTCCTTTTCATTTGCTTCAAAATATTGTGACCTACCTCAAGATCCAGAGGTTCAAATCCAAATCCAAATCCAAAGCACCAATTTCGGAGATGTCCAACAGGATCCAGTTGTTGAAATGAAGATTGTTTCCACCCTCTTGGGTTTCAAAGGAATCTATCACTGGACATGGTTGTCTCATGGTTCCCAGATCACATACACGGCGATTCTCGCGTCCTCGCGTCTGAGGCGACTGCGCGCTGCTGGTGCTGCGGCCCAGCAACGGGGACGACCTGCGCTGCACCTTCCGATCCCAAAGGGCGCGGAGACCTAGCGGACTTGGAGCGACCAAGGCACAGGGTTGGCCTTTTCCGACCTCTCACCCAACTTTTTGGGTCGGGAGGAAACCCCCCGTGCCTGAAATAGACTACGGGAAAAAGTGGGCAGGATTCTAACCTCTCTGCTGGAGGACCTAGCTTAAGAATGGAAAAAAAGAAAGCCGGAGGGTTGCGCCACCAGAGATGTTTTCAGGTTGGAACATGTGTTTTCAAGACCAGTGTATGACCCCTATGTTGACCCCGGAGTAATAAACCCGTCCTGGTCTGAAATCCGAAAGGGGACACGCCGCGATCAAAATCAAGCAGGGCTTATTCATCCGAGTTAACATTTTCAGGCCCGTTGGATCCATTTACCTGTATGGCAAGGAAACCAAGGGAAACACCCTTCAAAAACCAAAAGGAAAATGACCCTTCAACCTTTTGGTGTTCCAATTTGTGGGGTTCGCATTTGTAGTGGCCCTAAAAGGTAATCACATTTTATCCCACCTGAACCAAAAGCCAGACCATGGTGGAATCGCTCGTGAGAAACAGCCACACACACCAGACCGATGAACTGACAAACGCAGTCGGCGAGATGGGGTTTGACACATCCGACCTGGCGGAATCGTTCAGAGGGAAACGACGGAAGCCAAAACTCTTTCGATCGAGTGGGGCCAAAACCTCACTGCTCTTGGATCACGTGTTGTGGTGGTGTTTAGGCTGCAAAAACCAAGTTGTTTGTACCATGAGTATGCTGCTTACGACTAGACTATGACCCTTTGGTCACTTTGACTCGGGGAGTGGGGAAAATGCCTAGGGAACGGTTTTGCGCCGCTTAGAGACACCAAAAAAACCTTCCAAACTCCAAAGAGGTTGCAAAACATACGCCCAAATGTATAAAGCGGGCGTGTGGGTTGTCCGGACCTTTTGGTGGGATGGTCTTTCTTTCAGGGAACCCAAGGCAAAAGCGAAATCCATTCGCAGCTTCCCCCCATTTTGCCCCCCTAGACCCTTAAGTCGTGTCCAATCCCAAGAACCTGAAGCCCCAAGCATCCACTCTCCCAGTTACCCCCTATAGTGCGTACTCGGTCATTTTCCTGCGAAAAAAAAAAATGGTGGTGCCTTTGGCGAACTGCTATACAGGCAAATGAGTATCCACTGGGCCTGATAATGTTCACCCGGATGAATAAACCCCTGGTTGATTTTGATCGCGGGGTGTCCCCTTTCACGCCCCCACCATGCTATTACTAGGACGGGTTTATGAATCCGGGCTCAACGTGGTGGTTATACAGTGGTTGTGCTACCCATGGGGATATCTGTGGGTGTGTAACCCTGCCCCTTTTCGAAGAAGCGAAGCAGCGCTGGGGGTCAACGACTTTTTTCGATTCCAGATGGTTGGTTCAGCCTCGCGAGAGGGGAGGGTGTTGCGACCCATTTGGGTCTTTTTTGGGTCGGGGGTTGAGGTGATGATGGGTCAGAATTGACCCACCACAACGCCCGCCGCAGGCTTCAGTGCTTGTTTCCATTGGGCAAGCCATTTTTGGGGTTGCCATATTCTTGACAACACCCAGGTGATGATGGGTGAGAAGACCCCGGCGCAAGTGCTGCGGCTGCCTCACCAAATCACTGGGGAGCAGAAGGAGCTGATGGAGGATTGCCGTCTCGACACCGTGAACGTCAGGCGCGATACGACGCAGCGCGTTCCCCCTTTCTCCCCGGTAAAAACTGAGCTCACTATGTGGGTGGCTACGTCTTTTTTCGAGAGAGCCCTTTTTTGGGGTGTTTTACTAAACCAAGAGGGAAAAAACCACCTCTTCTTTGCCTTTTGTTCGAGGGGGGGGGGATCCCTTCAAACAAGACACGCCATGTGGGTGCTTGGCTTGGTTTCCAACTCTGATTTTAGGTGTTTGGAAGGACTCAAATGGGACTCCCTATAGAGACATATGTATATATATATATGTGTATATATATATATATATACCACCCCAAGGGAAACTCAGCTGAAACTGGTCAAGCAAATGATGTTGTGCATCGGGCTCAAAAGGGGCAACATAGGGGCCAGTAGTTTGGTGGCGCAACTTTTGAGCCATTCCCTTCACCCATGCCTTTCACAGGCTCTCTTAGACAGCTGCCAGTTACAAAACCCAGACACCAGCTCACTTGCAGGGCTGTCTTGAGTCAGGCGGTTTGGACGTATCTTTGCAGAACCCAGTCGGATCACTCCAATTCCACGCAGAACCATGAGAAGCTGATCATGGCTGTGAGAGGGGCCCCGGTATGAGGCTTCCACCTTGTGACAAAGCATGTTACCTTCTTCTTCTTCTTCTTCTTCTTCTTCTTCTTCTTCTTCTTCTTCTTCTTCTTCTTCTTCTTCTTCTTCTTCTTCTTCTTCTTATTCTGGGGCTTTTGGGTTGTGCCGTGCCTCTTACACCTCGCTAAGGCGGATTCGCTCCTGGATGGCCTCAATCGAAAACCCAAAGGAGCAATCCCCTTGCCCGAAATGGGTGCTGGTGAGTTCCGCCTTTTCAACTGGTTCGGGGTAGACCAATTTCAAGGTCAGGGTTTGATTATGGCTCTGGGCCACATGAATTCCCTGTCCACTGGGTACAAATGTCAGGTGGTTTCGCCTGGTAAAAGACAACCTCAAAACACATGGGGTACCCAAAAAGGGGAGACAAAAAAGGGGCAAAAAAAAAGGCTGCCTAAAATTCGGGGTACCAAACAAGGGGTACCACAAAACGGGTAACAAAAACAAGGTACTAGTTAAAGGTTCAACTCTCATTTGGATCTCCGATCCATGTCATCCATGGCATCCATGTCCTGAGGCACGGGGACTTGTTGGTCCTGGGCTCGGATGGGCTCTTCGACAACCTCTCGGATGAGGCCATCACGGACATCCTGCAGAAGCTGGGTTGGACATTGACCAAGTGGGGTCTGAACTGTTCACTTTTCGACTCAACATGGGTGGTCGCACCAACCTTTTTTTTTGAGGCCTTGTTTTGGTCAGCTTCTGGGGTTCATTGTGCCTTCTAAAGGGGTGCCTTTTTGGCTTCGTTGAAACTGGCTTAGGCGACAGTTCCTTTGGCTGACTTTAGGGGTATCTATGTTTGGTTGAAAAAGTTGACCCGTTGGACATTAGAGTTCGGCGGGTCCCGATTGTCCACCACCCAACCACTAGTCGAAGGGGGGTGGGGTTCCAAGTCCAAATTCCATGGCCGAATGGGTTTGCCTGAAAACAGGCGAATCCCCAAATGTGTGGTGGTCCTTTGGGTTTCCCTTCATAGCCAAGGTGAAAAGGATACCCACCAAGAAGAGGAGCCAATATGAAGCGAAATCTGAAGAGGCGAATCGTCTTTTTTGTGCCCAGGAGTTGGGCCATGCGGGCGAAGGAAACTGGCATGCACCCCACCAGGTATCCTGAAAAGGATGTCCAGAGAGCCAGCCTGAACTGTTCAGGGTTCCAGTCTCGTTTGATTTCCCCAAAATGTGTTCGTTCCCTTTGGAGTGCTTTTGTTTTCCCACCGCGGAAAAAGCATCAAACTGGGTCTATTTTTAAATTGTGGTTTTCCCTTGCATTTCCCCTACATGTAAGTTTACCTGGTTGGTAATGACAAAAATCAAATTCATTCACCCATCACCCATCACGATTACTCATCCTAGTCTTTTCCCGACCCCGACATGTCCAGACAAAATTAGCACCAAAGTCGGCGGCGAGTTGATCTTCCATGTGCGATTGTGTTGTTTGAGACTGGGTTGCTTTTTCGGTTGCCTTTGAAACCGGAATCCCATTTTGGCGGGGTCCGACTCCTGTTTTGCTGAAATGCACGCAATATAAGATGACTGGCCAAGCAAGCTAGATGGCAACCATGAAATTGGGAGATGTGGGTTGGTTTCTTTCATTTTGAACAGGGTTGCCAACCAGTTCGCCTCCATGAAATGGGTGTTCTGGTTTGGACCACGTTCCAGAGATGAGCCGAAGCTTGGGCTTTCAAGCTTCTCTCCTTGGCAGCGGAGTCTTTTTTGGGACTACCTTGGACACAATGGCCCACAGAGTGGCGGTGTTCCTTTTACCAGTACCACGCAAAAGGGGTGGGGACCCTCAAATAAGCTCAGGCGATATCCCCAACAGCACGCAATACTCTCTTTAGTGCTCGCACCACCCCGCAACCCTCGCAGAACCTCGTGGAACTCTGGTGGGCCCTGGTGGAACTGTCGTGGAACCTTACCTCAAAGCCGCCCCGAACCACCCCGGAGCCTATCTGGGCTGAGACCCCAAAGCTTTCAGCTGTTGGGGAAAAAAGACGGGTCTAAGTACCCCAGGTTGATTTTGATCTTTGCAATCCGGATCAGTTTTGGAGGGCCCGACCCATCCTTTTAAGAGGACGGGTTCTACTTCGATTCGGGGACATCATGTACCTAAAGATGTAGGTTTCCTCAAGGGCCAACCTAGTCCAGATGTGAAAAGGACCCTGGCTTGAACACAGAAGCCCGCGAAAAGCCCCCAGATTGCTTCCTGAGGCTTGGGTAGACTGGTAATTGTTCTAGCGCTGGAACCGGCAGTTCGTGGTTTCTCGGGTGTTTGTTGTTCGTGGGTGTGGATCCTCCGGTGTTTTTGGGTGTACGGCCCTGTGCCGAGGAAGCACTGCACCCAGGGGGACCTGGAAGAGTCCCCCAAGCACCGGAACCGACCCCTGGCGCCTTGGCAAGCGACGTCTTCGGGGAGCGACCTATGGGGCGTCCCAACAGCCCTGAGGTGCTATGTTGGTGCTTAAAGGGATACTTCGTGGTTAGCAACCTTCGCAGTGGGTCGGAGTCACCTATGGAGTAGGTAACCAGCCTCCTTTTGGTGTTCAAGGGCTGGTTCCCTTGGCTGCCTAGCAAACCCGGGAAATGGAATCACTGGGCTGGTCTCAAGTCCCTCTTCAGGGTACCATGGCTTACTAAGTGGTACCGGATATTTACCCACCCGCAAGTCGAAGTGGTTTTTACCCCCGCCAAGAACACCCTCTCAAGAACACCCACTCAGCGCTGCACACACGCATGCCATATGGTAAGAACACCCGCTGAATTGCACCCGCTCGTCACTGCACACACGCATGCCAAATGGTAAGAACACCCGCTGAAGTGCACCCGCTTTGCGCTGCACACACGCATGCCAAATGGGAACAACACCCGCTGAAGTGCACCCGCTTTGCGCTGCACACATGCATGCCAAATAGTAAGAACACCCGCTGAGGTGCATCCGCTCAGCACTGCACACACGCATGCCATATGGTAAGAACACCCGCTGAAGTGCACCCGCTCAGCGCTGCACGCAGGCATGCCGAATAGTAAGAACACCCGCTGAAGTGCACCCGCTTTGCGCTGCACACACGCATGCCAAATGGTAAGAACACCCGGTGCACCCTCTCAAGCGAAACAAGCGGCGGATTTCAAGTTCCACTGAAATAGGACATGTCTCCAGCCGGTGCGCCGGCTTTTGGCAGCCCACGTCTCCCTGCCATGTGTCCTGACTAGAACAAAAAATGCGCGGCTTTACTCTGAAATGAGTTAGTTACCGGGATGTTCAAAGACCCACAAAGACGCACGTTGGTCAAACTGCCTGAGAATTCAAGCACAAAAACCGAAGACACACAAAAAACGCGCGGGTGGGTATGTTCCCGGCGCATACTAAGTACCCTTCAAGTCTTGAGGCATCCCAAGGCGGAAGGCTTCAACCTGAGCCTCCAGAACTCACTTCCTGAGATCCGTTTCGGAGCTGGCAAGGAAAAAGCGTTGTTGTTTTGGACTAATGCACTGTTTGCCCATGAATCCCGCCTGGAAAACGTTCTGAGGTCCAACAGCTGCCGGTGTTGTACAAGAGCCTCGGTTCAAAGGGAGTCGCCTTTTCACCTTCTGGTGGTCTCAAGGGAGCAGTTTTGGAGCTGGGGGTATCCAACGTTTGTTTTGCTTTTTTTTTCTGAGGGGGCGGGTCTGGAGCTGCCCGGACGTTCTGTACAGACATGATGGTTTTGGAGTTCCCTGTTGGCAACCACGTTTAGTAAAGGTCTCAAAGATGATCACCTTGTATAGTTTTGGGGTTTTGGGGATCCTCGAAGTGGTTGGCGTTTATTCGGTGTCCATTCCCAATCCATGCTGTGGTTCCCTAATGGGCAACTGAGGACTGGCTTGGGCTAACATGGTCTAAGGGGCAAGTGGGATACCCATTTGGGTGTGGCTCAAAGTTGTTTTTTTTTGGAGTCAAAACTCCTGGTAGCTCCTGGTAGCTCCTGGTAGCTCCTGGACCTTTCCCTCTTTAAAACCAACCTCCCTAACCACCAACTACCACCCCCGTGGTTGCCCCCGAACGGGCAACCAAACTGGGCCGGCTAAACGCGTGCTTTTTGGGAGGCCGTAAAAAAGCTGTATGGCCATTTGGTTGAATCTTTGGACTTTAACTTTTAGGAAACAGTGGATTGTCCATCGGACCCACGAAAAGTTCGTCACCTGAGGGGTCAGCAGCAACCAAGCCTTTTGCTTGGCTTTTGGATGGGAAGCCAAAAGGAAAACGGCCAGTTTAGGGTACCCCAAATTTTGAGACAGGCCCGGAACCTTCCAGAACCCTCAACCCTGCGCATCCCTGAAAGCTGCATCCCTCCCACTGGATTTCTGGGCCTACCCAAATCCACAGCTTCCAGCAGTTGGGATTGAAGAAAAAAAGGCCGCAAGAACCCGAAGAGGGGAGAATTTGCGAGTTCTGGGCACCACATCCATGGGCTTTCTTCCGGCTCGCCCAAAAACCCGGGGACCCCGGAGAAGCGAAAGACCGCCGGTGAGCGAACGGGGGCGAGGAGCCGCGCCCTGCCCTCCCAGAGCCAGCTGCAGCAATCCGCCATCGGCCTTGTGGAGGCCGCCATCCAGCGCCTCGAAAACATTTCGTTTCGGATTCGTCGAGGCGTTTCTCGGCGGAGGTGAGGTTTTTTTCGCGGTTTTTCTCGGGGCGGGGCGGGTGCCGTTTTTGGGTCGGGGAAAGACCCGGAGAAATTGGGGCAGGAAGGTCTCTGGTGTTTGTTTCTTTTGGGGGGTGTTCAAGAACTTAGGGGGTGAGTGTCGGGGGGTTTGGGGCAATCGGGTACGTCTGGTAAGTGGTTAGTAAGCCTAGTTGTAATCCACTTAGACTTATAACCATGGTAAGTTGGTTATGACTATGGATATTACCCACTTACAAAGTACCCGATTGCTTTAGCTCGGATACTTCAATTTGATCTTTGCAGGTGCCACTTTCGGTTGGCAAAGACGGGGCTTCAACATCGCAAAAAAGGCGCGGATTTCACGCGCCTTCCAAGCAGGCGAGGCCGCGAGGGGACTTGGGGCGATTACACCTTTTTTTTTCATGGCTTGGACACTTGCTCTCGGAGCAAGTTACAACTTGGACACTTGTCGCGAGGCCGATCTGGCGCGTTACTACTTCAGTGTCAACCGCTGCCTATGACATTGCCCCCAGTATTGCAGTGTCTCACCCTTTTTTGGGGGAGGGTTCCTCTGCGAAAATAGACTACAGAAAAAGTTGGTCCCCTTATTCTAACCTCTCTACTGGAGGACCTACACAATATCTTGCATGGAGTCGCAGCCAAAAGGATTCATTGACCTGTCGACACGCATGCCCGTAGCCAGTGTCGCGATCGTTTCTGGTGGTTGTCCGAGTCAACTAGGTTGTTCCCCTTTAAGCCACTTAGAGAGGTTGACTTGGGAGTTGGTGTCCTTTTGGTGTTCCCCTTTGAGACAGACCCACGAACGCGTGCCTAAAAGGACATGGGCAAAAGCTTGTTTGGTGTTTGTGGTTGAGATTTATGAATTAGACGTCCCTCCCAACTGAACCATGAACCATATGGGTGTTTTTTGTTGAGGGTACCTTTTTGGGGTTGGTTTTAAAAGGATAGCCAAAAAAAAAACACCATTCTTGGGTTTCCACTAAAAAAGACACACCCATGTCGACTGGACATTTTGACGAGCCGATTGGACTCGTATTGGGGAAGCCTTCGAACGAACCTCTTCGGGGCCCGAGGAATGTGGTCATGGTGGCAGACGGGTCCGTGCCACTGGTGGCGCGAGGCGGAACTCGAAGCTCGAAAGTCGTTGCCGCCAAAGCCGTCGTTGGGGACATCTGAACCTTTTTCTTGAACGTTGCTGGACAACTAGGTCCCCCAGTAGTACACTTTTTGGGGGAGGGGTTCCCTACTTAAAAAATAGACTGCGGAAAAAAGGGTGCCCTTATTCTAAGGATTTGAGGTGTTTAGATTCTTGGTTCTGTGTATTTTTGGTAGGGGGCTGCAAAACAATAAGGTAATTGCTCCCATACCAAGGCGTGTACGCTTTGGATTGGGATTTACCCAACCCAAGCAAAAAACTCATGTTTAGAGAAAACAAATAAGTATCCCCCAAACAAACCCACTGGCGCTTTCAAACACTGACGCAACAGAAGGGTTCCAACTGCGTTTCCAACCAAAACACATCACCAACCTACAAGTACATTGGTGTGTCCTGAAATAGGGAGAACCCAGAACATGGCTTCGGTTTTCCTGTTGGTTCCCTTTAAAACAGGTCCAACAGGGGTGCCGTCAATAAAAGACACCCCGCCATGTCCATTGTTTTCCAACAGTTCCCACAGGTAAAAGTTGGAAAAACTGAGGAGGTCCACTGAATAAGTGCTTTGCTCACACGAGCTCCTTCAACCCCTTCGTTTTGGCTGCCGAAAGAGCCGCAGATCCGAAAAAAGCCAGTTGGATTCGCCATGAAGCTCTGGAGATACTCGGTTTCCCAGGTTTTGCACCCCACAAAAGGATGGGGCAGGCTAGTTATACAGTGTGGTAACTTACAGCCCTGGTTCGAAGTTCCCATTCAGATGGTAGAAAATCATGGCGTCCAATTCCCTCGCGAGGTACCTTGCCCCTTCAAACGTGCTGATCCCAACGACAGCGCCTTGCATCTTAGGGACTTGAGACCGAGCTCTGTTTCTTTGTTTTTGTTGTTGTTGTTTTTTTGTTTGTTTTTGTTGTTTTTTTCCGACTCAATAAGCTACCCTTTAGACACGGTTCAGTTCCGCTTCGCAGGCGGTTGCTTGTGGAAACGCATAGCCAATGGGCCAATGGAGCACGCCCGTGGCTTGAGTGCCATGGGTGGAAATTTTGCGACCCCGTCATCAAGAACACCCGTCAAAGACTCCAAGACCTTGCTAACTTCTCGGCCAAACCTTCAAATTGCTTAAACTTTGCTTTGGGTGTGTCTCAAAATTGGAATGGGACCACCTGTCTGGCATGGTTTGAATAGGAAACCAAAAGGAAACTACCAGGATGACCTGGATGTCCCGGAAACGCCCATGTCTCGTATTTGTGTGGTGCCTGTTTCAAAGCAAAGCATTCCCAACAAACAACGGGATGTGAAGCTGAAGGTTTTGCCCTCAAGCGGGAAGACCCCTCTGAGCCAGGGGCATCTCTAAGGAACTCGTAAGCGGCTCGCGTGTGTCGGTTCGGTTTCGGTGGCCTGTAAGGGGAAGGTTTTTTGGAGGCTACCGTCGGTGGTGGGTTTCAAGGGGAAGCCAAAAGAAGCCCAAGCATTTGTTGGTGCTCCGAGTCCAATTTGGAGACCAGCCCCTTTTCCCTGCCCCGAGGGATTCCATGAGTTGAGAACAAGTTACGTTGCCGGTAAACCAACCTGCCTATCGGGTGTGTGTTTTGGAAGGAGAACCAAAATGGCCACAGGTCCAAATGCCTCAAACAAAAATCAAGCACAAAGAACCCAACCAGTGGCGTCCACGCTTGCTTCTTCTTTTTTTTGGGGGGGAGGGGCGTCCGATGGAAAATCGACCAACAAAGGTGTAATTATTTGCCCCCTCTGTTTGGAGCAGCGGGAAACTAGTCACATCAGCACGCCACGTCACCGAGGACAATCAATTAGCCCCGATGTTTGGAGCCCCTGGTGTTTCTCCTAGTTGGTTGTCTTTCTGCGCACCTTTTTCAGAGGTCAAATTTGGGGGGGGGGGGGGGGGGCGGAGGCGGGTTCGCCACAACTGGGTTCCACGCTGATCTGAAGTGCACTCATTCAGGTGGATCGCCACAAATGAGTGGTGAAACCTTTTGGTTTCCCGTCGCCCTCAATCGCAGGCAACCCGGACGACACCACAGCCATCGTCGCGCTCGTGGTGGAAGAGGGAAAGCTGCCAGACAGCGACTCTGAGGCCACCGAGCCCTATGTCCTTCCCTTCTTCTTCTTTTTGGGGGGGAGATCCCGTAATTAAAGTCAGCGTCCCAGCAAAACGAGTGTCCGGCTTTAAGTCTGGGTTAGCCATATGTCAGCACTAAGTGTTCAAGGGAATTAAAAGACATTTAGTCCAACATGCTATCGTGAATAAGGGGCAATGTAGGTGTGTGTGTGTGTGTGTGTGTGTGTGTGTGTGTGTGTGTGTGTGTGTGTGTGTGTTTTTTATGGAACTCATAGCCATGGTTTAACCTTCTCCGCCAAGGAGCCAGGGAACAAAAGCAAGCACCAACGGCTACGGAGTTTCTACCGCCCGCGCATTTGGGAAGCACGCGAAACATGGGGCATCCATGGAAGGGTTGTTTGCATCCACTGTTGTCAAACCGAAACCCGCTACAAAATGGGTATGTAGGCCTCCAAAAACTTGATGTTGGGATTCAAACTTCCTTTGGGTGGTTGATGTGTTTAGTCTAGAGTTGGCACCCTGCAGATGTCCTTACACCATGAATTATGACTCGGATGCGCGGGGTTCGGGAACTCCTGAAAACTCCAACTGAGCCACAAACCCGGGTAGATGAAGGTTAGTAAGGGACAATCCCAACCATAAATAGCTGCGGCCGCCTTCTTAATTCTTTACATGGTTCTGGGTACACCATTTTAATACCGGGTGTTGATTGTGACTCAACTCCGCTTGAATTATTGGCTTATGTCTTTGCCACTGCCTCTCAGAAAAGACGACAGGGAGGAGGGTTGGTTGCCCTGCTATCGAGAGTAAAAGTTGAACCCTTTCAGTCAGTGCAAGTCTCCCTGAGGGCCCTCAGTCAGCAAACAAACACAGCACGACATCAGAGTGCCACCCAAAAAGTCAACAAACAAAAGAATCAAGCAAGCCACGAGCACATGAAGCAAAATGGCAAACAAACCAAACAGGCGAGCAGCCCAAGCAGCGCAAACAAATGCACAGGCGAAGAAAACAAATTACAAAGGCAGCACCCCCAAAAAGAGAAGCAAAGACACAAACAAACAATCAAACAAACAATCAAACAAACAATCAAACTACTGGTAGCAAGCAAGCAAAAAGCAAGCAAACACATCGACCGGTAAAAGCAAGCCAATCAACAGCTCCATCAAACCCAGCAGGCCAAAGAACCAAGACATAGCAGATCAAAAGGCACGTGAGCCAAGGAAATGAAGAAAGAGTACCAACAAGTAAAAGTACAACAGCAGCCCCAAGAGACAAGTAGAAAACTAATCAAATAGCAAAGCAACTTACCAAAAATTAACCAAAGCAAAGCCAAAAAAGCAGCGCACTCCAAAGGGTACTGCAGAACTACAGCAAGAAGAGCAAAATGAAACACAAATGAAGACCGAAAGACGTTTTTCTTCAAAACACACATGGCCAACAGAGCATGCCAAAGCGCCCCTTGGGCGCCCCTCAAAAAAAATCGGCGACGGAGGCCCCTTGCGTGCTTCAGGTGGAGCTGCACGACGTGTATCCCCACGCGGAGGCCTTGCTGGCCAAGGGGGCCTGCGCAGACCGGGGCGTGTGCTCCGCGGGCTGGTGGGGCCCGGTATGCTGCACCAGCGCACCTCGGACAGTGGCGGGAGTTCCTGATGTGTGCGGTGTTTTTTTTGCCTGGGCCCTGGGATATCTTTGATTCGCCCAGTTACTTGGGGGTCCCCAGCCATACGGTTCCTTAGCTTTTTGGCCTTTTAGTCTTTAGTGGTTCCATTTAACGGAGGATCGGAGGATCTGAGGACAGCCCAGGTTAGTTGCAGTGACGCCACTTGCCCTTTTTTCACCCCCTACAAAGGTTTGTCCCATTGGGGGGGGGACTGTTCGGCCAAGCAAATGGTTAGCCGCTTGGGGTAGATCCTGACAAGGTTCACCTCACAGTCACGATTGGCACTTAGTGGGTTACAACCGAGTTACCAAAACACGGGGGGGTGATCAACATTCCTGGCCAATGAAAATGACTGGTTGCCCTATATAGGGGTAAATGCAGTATTTGGGGTAAATACAAGGGTCTTACCTCTTTTTTGGCCCATCCACTCGGGAAGTAAGCAAAAGACATCCCGTGTAAAGCACATTCTGATCAACCCCATATATTGGTTGTGCTTTGGAGGACCCCCCCTTTTGGAGTGGTTAAGCAACGGGGGCCTATGTAGAGACAAACGAATATGTGCTCCCATGAGTTGGTCTAAATATCATTTGTTGGTTAGTTTGAAATGAGTTTCCTTTTGGTCGGGTAATGGGTTCTTTTTGGTTTCCCATACAATCACCCTAAACAGGTTGCCCTCAAAAGAACATAACTTCACATTGGGGGCAACATGAACGCACACAATTCCATGACTGAAATTGGTTTTGAAGTACCCGAAGACCTCGTTGCAAGCAGTCAGGACCATATAGCACTCTTGTCCGAGTCGATGCCCTTGTACCCTCCCATCAACAAATATGGCTGTGGGTCACAAAATGGGAACCTAAATTGGAACCCTGGCAAATGGAACGCTTCGGACACCGAGCCGGCGGCTGCCGCCCGGACAGTCCAGCACTCTGCTGCCGAATTGCACAGACCCTTCTTCGAGGACTGCTTTTGTCGCGGGAACAGCGTCCACCTGGAGCTCGTTGTGTTTGTAATAGGACGTCGGACACTTTCTTCAAGTTTCGCCCCAGTGTTTCTTCTCTCACGGTTGATTCGGCTTGTCAAAAGCAAGCCGCAATCCTTCTGCGAAAAAACAAGCATGCTTCTGATCCACAGTGATTTCCCAGTTCCTTGTGGGTTCCCAGTTCCTTGTGGGTGTTTCTTTCAATCAACCCAAAATACGCCTGGCCCTTTTTGACGGTACCTTCTTTTTTTTGTAGTGTTCACGGTTTCAAGAGAAACCCAAAAGAAAAACCCACCCGTGTTTGGGGGTGTCCGCTACAAACCGATTCTCATCAAAAGCCAAGCCCGTGACCCGAAACTGGGACCCGACCGCCGCTCACTCTGGGCTCTATGCCGCGAGAAAGGCACTCCTTTCGACGCAGGGCGAATGGGTACCCCTCGCTCGCTTTCTGAGCTACGTTTCGGACTGGGACGTCACTCTTGGGGTTTGTTGGCCAAATGTTAGTGGACACAGTTTGACTTCTTCTGGCCAATCCACTCAGGAAGTGAGACCCGGACCCTCAAACTACCCTTCAAAATGAGAATTCACCAATGTTTTTGGGGGGCAAGACCCAAATTTGTGTGGTCCAGGTACTATACCCACTTTGCTCCGCCCAAGAGTCTAGCCCACTCTCACGAAGGGATGAAACGCAACATCGATCCCATGTGCTTGCAGTCTGAGGCGCACATCGACCGCGATGACAACGAGGAATCAGACCAGTCCGGCAGCGACGCCCAAAGTGATCTCCGACAGCCCACACACTGCACCGTGAGCTGAGAAGTCTTCTCGTGAGGGCCCAGGCATGATGCATTTTGTTGTACCTGCAGGCCTCCTTTTAATCAACCCCAGTCCAAGCGACACCGCCCTGTTGATAAGCTAAGGTTGATTGATATGCGGTCAACATTGCCTGTAGGCCTCATATAGGGATGGTTTTGGGGGTATGTACCCTGTATAGCCCATGTATAACCACTAATTTTGGGGTATGTCCATTTGGGGTATGCAAGTTGGCCCTTGGATGCTTGGATCTCTTGTATTTTAGGCTTGCTATATTTTCGCGGAAGCCCACCATGGGGCCTGGTTTTGAGACAATCCCGCTTTAGCGTACGGTCAGTTGTTGTTGTTGTTGTTGTTGTTGTTTTTTGGTACCGACAACTACAACTGGGATGTTGTTTGAAGTGGTTTTGCATTGTAAGGTTGTGCTGGTTTGGGGGCAAGAGAAGGTCAACGTGAAACCCGGCCAATGCATTTCCAGAGGAGTCTCATTGAGCGGTTCCCTTTGACCATATGCATGAAATCCACACAAGGTTTCTAAACTTGTTGCTTTCGGAAGATGTGTTTCGCGATGAGGCAACTGCTAAGGCTTGTCTTGGGGCCAATCCGTTCAAGAAGTCCTTACTCTGCTGAAGCAAGCCGAGCGAAGGACCCTTTGCGCGTAGAGTCTGCGATGTAGCTGACTGCACTGCCTAGGGGCATGTCGTTGCGTGGAGGCAAATAATGCGTCAATACAGGCCAAAGGTTGTTCCGAAACAAAAACAAAAGGGGACGAATATTTGCTTAACTTTTTCGGACGCCCGGAATACATTTAGTTTGCCATCTGCAAATGTTTAGGCAACCAAACTCTGATGATTACTTGCTCAGAGAGAGTCCAAATTATTATGAGTTTTCCTTTTGGTGAACAAAAGGCAGCAGCAACGCCTCACCTTTTTTGCAATGTGTTTTTTCACGAGCTATTCTTGCGCTCGTTTGTGTATTGTTTGTCAACATGAAAAAATGCATCCACAAGGGGATGTTGTTGTGGTGATGCTCATGATGCTGGCAGATGCTGGCGTGCAATGATGCTGGGACGTTAGCTTGTTTCTAGTGAGCTTGCGCAAACAAAGGCGAAGCATGCTTGAATTTTCCCCTTGTTTCTAACCCCTAGCCTAAAAAGTTCAAGCAACTACCCTCTGGAAAAGAATGGTCAGGTTCCGCCTGTCAAAAAAGGTGGAATCTTCTGGTTCTCGTAGAATCTGTTTCAAGCCATTTAGCTGCAGATCCGTACCGAGCTCGGCTGAAGATCCGAATCCACTTGTTTGGTTCTTCCTGCCGTGGATTCGCAAACAAACATCCTGCAGATCTGCGCATTTTCCCAGGTGTGGGGTGGTGCAGTCCAGCATTTGTCAGCGGCATCCAGACGAAGAATTCATGCACCATGTTTCAGGGTGGAGACAAGTTGCATTTCGGCCACGTTTCTGGGCAGGGAGGTCTCACTAGGGATGCCTCTGGAAAAATCGCAATTGGACTAATTACTGTGGATGGACGAAATCCATTGCGCACCACCGAACTCAGAAACCCAACGCTTTCCACACCAAGAAACGTTATGGTTTCAAGCATTCATGACGTGCGGAGAAACGTCAAGCATCAGTCTGAAACCGCGGTGAACATTGGGCAAACTTGAGCTTTTGTCGACCTCGAAGAAGGCAAAGGCTGCGCATGTTGCAACCCATTTGGAACCCTGAGATCCTTCTTGGGAGTGTGGTATTTTAGGTTGGTGAAGTGGTATTCAGAAAAGACGCTGCTCTTTTTTTTCCTAGGATCTTTGGCTTTCGCCTTAGATGTCCAACTTGGGTGCGCTTTCTGCTACCAATTAATTTGAGTTGAGCTTCGATTTAGCACGGAGATGTTTGCATGAGGACCCTTGTTTCGAGCACGGCATGCCCGCATGCCCGAAGCAATGGGGTCCGTTTGTTGGAATGCCATGGGTTTCAAACCGCAGCAACAGAAATGCTGGCGAGACAGGTAGGGAATAACATTCCGGGTTTTGGTTTTGGGAATGAACCAGAAGGGGATTCCCTTCAAGGAGAGTACAGGAATCGAATGGTTTATATGAATTACTTCTTCATGACTTGCTGAGAACCAGAAAGAACAGAAACATGAGTGTGGCGAGCAATCCAGGCAACCCAATTTGGGCCGAGTCCATTTGTTGCCGGACATAGGATTCCATCACGCATCTGTGGCGCGAAGAGCAACATGTCGGCCGCATCTTTGGCTGGTTGCTTTCGGGACACTTGCGATGGCAGATCTTTACTTGTTCCCACCATGCAGTTGCTTAGCTTTTTAGATCCTTTTAGTGTTTTAGTGGTGGGATTTTCGTATTTAACCCGCTAAAAGCGAAACTTTTAGCGGGGGATCTGAAAACGGACAGCCCGGTTTAAACCAACCCAAAAAAGGGAGCCCCTTTTAACAGACAGACCCAGGTGTCGCAAGTGTGGATAGAGCATCGGTCCCGGGGGGGGGTTGCGCTGAAGCTTTGGTTGCCCAACCGGGTGCGCAAAAGCGGCGGCTGCCGGGGCTGGTGGTCCAGGCTGGAGTTCGGGGATGCAAGGCCCAAAGCCAACTGTTCAGCTTTACAAGAATACAGAACCTGTGCATTTTGCCAAGGGATGTTAGGACTTGAAAACTTTTTGCCAACGAATTGGGGTTTTCCGTGTTAAACCCACTAAAAGTTAGTCACTTTTAGGGGACAGAAAGCGACCAAGAAACTACAGGATGAATGATTGATTCCTGCTGCTTATCGAGAAACTATGAAGTGGCAGTTTCAGTTTGGATGCTTATGATGGTCACCACCCAGAAAATATATATATATATATATAGCAATGTAGACATGTGGTCGTCCCCTCGACCACTAAGAGTCACCCGTTGCTTGGCGACATACTAGACTTTTGTGTGGTCGGAGATGGATTCTGTCAACTGACTTGTCCCAAGCCAAGCTCCAAAGCAGATCTTGTTTTCACCGAACGGTTGGAAGCCCTTCTGCGGTCAACCCGACCTGAAACGATCCGAGGCAAACCCCCTATAGGTAACCCTTCTCCGTTATCAATTTGTGTTTTTTCTTAATCGGGTGGCAAATCCTGGCAAACGGAATCCCTGGGGCCCCAGGTATTTTTACCTCTCGGTTTTACCATGAATAATTCGGTCATAAGAACCCCGGACGAAGAACCTTTGAATACATAGGGGGAGTGCCCCCTTTTCATCCATTTCACGGGGATTCACTTTTTCTGGGCGACGCCCGTGTTGCTCCGGGCGCCTTCCGGATGGGTTTTCCGGTCGGCTTCGAGGTCCGAGATTGCCTGCAGCCTTCACGAGGTCTCGCCGTCGCCCAATCTGTCCATGCCATGGTCATTTTCACCGGTTTCGTTTCTTGATTGACGTTATGGTCATCTACCTGGAAAGGATCCAAATCAACGCGAGAATCGGTTCTTGCCGTGCCTTTTGGCCATGACCATGGCACATATCTGTGGGTCAGGTGAACATTGCCATGGGGAACCTGACTAAGTCCTGGAGGATTGTGTTCCCTTAAACAGCTTCCGGTGGGATTCATCTTGGTGGACAGGGTATTGTATGTTTGCTTGTTCGGTTGTGTGACACGTTTGTTTGCTTGTTTGTTTGTTTGTTTGCTTTGTTTGTTTGCTTGCTTGCTTGCTTGTTTGTTTGGATTTTCGTCGAAAGACACTGAGTTTGGGGGGGGCTACATCAATGACTGGTCCTTGGTGGACCATAGCGATTGTTGAAACGTATAAGTTGTTACGCTTGGTTGCTGTGTTGCTTGTTCTTTTGCGGATGGCCCTAGCCTTTGCGTTCCTGTCTTTGTCTTATTTCATGTTGGGTTCTGCCCGTGCAAAAAAGACATAGTGATTGATCCATATTCCATCCCCGTTTGGGGAAAGTCGAATTCTTGGTGGTTTACCTGATGGTCATCCCGATGCATGACCTTTTTGATCAACCCCCCCACGGTGGTTGTAAGAAAGCCCCAGGTTGTTTGGAGCAGCACGCCAACCCAACAGCTGCGGGTGGCTGGAAAAGCATCCCCCTTGGTGTCCATTTTCTTGGTATTTCTGGGTAGTGGCGTCCATGGTCAACAAACCGAGCGACTGTAGTTTATCCATTTTGGGAAGACTTTTTAGGGGCCCCCATGTTAAAAAGCTGCCATGCTTGGTGTTGCTGCCTTTTGGGGCAGCATCCAGAATCCAAACGGGGGGAAACGTAAGCCGCATGACTTTGGACCCTCAGCCAACTGTCCTCCACTTTTTGACCCCAAGATAGACTTAAACCTAGGTGTTTCCCTTTGGGTATTAAAACACCCCTTTGGGGTAGTCAAAAAGTGGAATCCTGGATGGGTCTGCCTTTTTTTTTGTTGGTACCCTGTTTGCTTGGTTTAGGGGAAGCCAATCGGAAAACCGTTGCGTGCTTCTTGTGGGTCCGATTCTAAAGGGCAGAGCCAATGGAGTCCCACGAGTGGAAGCTTCTTTTAGTGTCCGAATTTGACCCCAAACGGCTGGGAGAAGGACCCGAAGGGTCTCTCAAGTCGAAAAGTTCACAAAGACATCCCTGCCAGCCTCAATGACTCAACCAAGTCGTTTCGTCATTTGAAACCCGAGGCCCTGTGCCGGTCAAACAGCACCCAAAAGGCCCCTACCAGAGGTCGCGGAAGAGCCCTGTGAATTTGGGGCTCCGAAACAGCCCTTCACCGGCTCCAGCTTACTTTACTCTATAGGCACAAGTTTGGGCACGCCGACGTGGCCTTTCGCGTGAGTGCTGGCCCGGTGGTCCTGAACCACTCCGTGGTGGAGTCCGATGGCAGGTTCGTGGCAACAGCGAGTGGTCCTCAGCTATGTCGGGGCGCCATTTGGCTTCCACGTTCCACTTCGCCCACAACAGCACAACAGCGAGCGCATGCCTGAAGCAGGCGCAGGAAACTATGGTGCGCATGGGCCAGCTCACAAGGCAGACCAGGTTAGCGCTCGCCTTGCCCATTGGGATGAATGCCTACATGTGGGCCTCCCGGGACACCGTAGGTCCCCCAGCTAGGTGCCCTTTCGCCCCCCTTTTTTGGTTGGGAGGGTTCCTCTACTAAAATAGACTACAGAAAAAAGTTGGTACCCTTATTCTAGCCTCTCAAATCTGGAGGACCTAGTTACATGAAATGCAGCGGCCCAAGGATTCTGGCTTCGACTGGTCGATTTGTTTGAGCCACTGAAAGAATTTGATCGCCAAAGCGTCCTCAAACCCTGCAGCTCTTGTTCTTTGTCGTCGATTCTGGGGTCTCCAAAACGATCTTCTTTGTTAGGCTACATGGGCTTGATCCTTATTCCCTTCGGCCCAAAAATGACCATGGGTAACTTGTCCCATTTAGTGGTTGAACTATCTTTTGTTGGCAGTTGTCCAACCAATGGACATGTATCACGGATCTCGTGGTCAACCCCCACATGTGAAACCGAGTCAATAAATGGAAACAGGTGCGGGCCAAGGATTTTGAGTCAAAGCTGGCAATGGGGGAGTCTTTCTTGACAGTGCCCTTTCTGGGGGCGAAGCGAAACCAAGCAAACAACCGAAGCCGCTTTGGGGGTCCCTCCCATATTTTGACACCAAATGAAATTTGATGAGGGGCTGGGGATGGTTGACATCCACATTTAGGTGTGTCTTTTTGTTGGGAGTTGGTACCCTTTCTGGAGCGGTGAGGGAAAAGGGAACCATCCAAAAAAAAACAGTGCTTCCAGGAACCTCTAGGTTTTGCATGATTTCCCCTTGTTACCCAGTCTAGTGGCCTGCCTGGACGCACCGGCAAATAAAACACCAATACCCGAAAAGAAGGAGCTGGCAAAAATCGACCGGAGTCTGCGAGCGCCAGACCTTCATCACTGGCGCGACCTCGCCCCAAAAGGTGCCCGGGGCCCTGGGACCGAGCGGCAGAGCTCCGTGTCTCGCACTGAATGCTACTCTGGCTGCCGCCCATGTTCTCGCTGCTCAGTGGGGAATGGGGGAAGGAACCCTGTAAACCATCCAACTGGTGGGTGCGATAGGCAGGGAATGGGGGGGGAAGAAGCCCCTAAAAAAAACACAACATCCAACTGCAGGTTCAAAAGTTCTAGGGGGAGGTTCATTCCCTTATTCCCGGATCACTAGCAAGTTTTAGCGGCAACTGAAGAGAAGCTGATTATTGAAATCGCGACGCGAGCCGCCGACGCCAGTGGACAGTCCCCTATTCATAAACTGGGGCTGATCAATCTGGAGTCAGCACTGGCTCAAGGGACAATTGCCAGACCAGCGCTGCTGCAGGGTACCTCAAGTGGGTCAGGAAATAGACGTCTTTTTGCCTAGGTCACTTGGGTCTCTTAACGTTTAAAAGGAGAACAAGCAACGCCCCTCTGACGTCGGCTGCAAAGTACTTTGAATTTGGGGTACGAAGGAGTCTTAACGCGTGGCAGGAGAACAAACAACGCCCCTCTGAGGTGCCTTGACTTTGGGGTAAGGAAAAAGGCTTTTTTTTGCCTAGGTCACATGTGGCTCCTAACACGTGGAAGGAGAGGGTGCCTGGAATTTGGAACGAGAACACAAACAACGCCGCTCTGACTTCGGCCGCAAGGCTGAACAGATGACAGGAGAAGAACACTACGTAGGGTCTACTCTTTAAACCACCCCCGAAAGGGTATAAAAGCAAGGCCCCTTTTTTTGTAAGTAGAACAAGGCCTTCTTGGCACTTTCCT